GCTCGGTATCGATATCGGCGATACACCTCCCGGGAGAGATCAACGTAGAGGCCGACGCGCTCAGCAGAACCAGGGCGACATCCCACGAGTGGAGGTTGAACCCCGAGGTCTTGTCGGAGATCTTCGAGGATTGGGGTCTTCCCGTCGCAGATCTCTTCGCGTCGCCACAAAACGCCCAGCTGCCTCAGTTCGGTGCCCGACTTGCTCCGAACACGGTGCCGGGATGCCTCGGAGACGCGTTCCTGTTGGACTGGTCGAGGCACCTGCTCTACCTCTTCCCACCGTTCCCGCTCCTCCCGAAGGTGATCGAGCGAATCCAGTCGGCGCAGACGGACTGCATCCTCGTGGCACCGGAATGGCCTCGACAGCCGTGGTTCCCGGTCTTGCTCCAGCTGTCGCAGGGGCTGATGAGGCGCCTTCCGCTTCGGCAGGACCTGCTCTCCAGGGAAGACGGCCAGCTTCTTCACCCCGACCTAGCTTCTCTGCATCTTTCGGCGTGGAGGATCCGGTGCTGAGGTCGCTGTGTCCAGGGGTCCTCCCGATCTTGGAGGCGGCGCACAAGCCGGCCACCAAGAAGTGCTACTCTGCCTGCCTTAACCGTTTCCAGGCCTTCCTCCTGGAAAGAGGCCTGACCGACGACCGACCGTCGATACCGACGATCCTGTCTTTCCTGCTTCACCTCACAGAACGAGGTCTGTCCTTGTCTTCGCTTAAGTCACACTTGGCTGCCATATCGTGGCAGCTCCAGAGGACAGGGGAAGCCTCCCTGTTCAAGGACAGCTCAGTTAAATCCTTTTTGAAGGGTTTCAACAATTTGTATCCCCCGGTTCGATCTCCGACTCCGGGGTGGGACCTTGACCTTGTACTGACTAGGCTCGGGCTGCCGCCTTTCGAGCCCCTAATTTCTGCGGACCTGCGATTGTTGACTTGGAAGGTAGCCTTTCTGGTTGCCATTACTTCAGCCCGCCGGCCGTCGGAGTTGGCGGCCCTGCGGGTGGACGAACCCTATTTTATCGTCCACGAGGACAGAGTAGTTCTCCGCACAGATGTGACATTCCTCCCTAAGGTCGTGTCCCCTTTCCATGTTAATGAGGACATTGTT